CTGGGGGGAGGCGGCAGTTCCCGTGAGCAGAGCAACAAGACCCTGACTCGTGTTTTCGTCCCCTGGGGTGCCGGCTGCAGGGTGTCTTCCGAATCTGGCGTGACCTTGGTCCAGAGTTCTGTTTGTTCCTCTCCTCCCTCAGAGCGGGGATTTTTTTGTTTTGTTTTTGGTGTCTTGTTTTCTTTCTCCTCCATGTGTCTTGGCAGGCGTTCATTTCTGTGGCTGTTGGCCAAAGGGAATGTTCTGGAGCTGCCAAGAGGGGAGGAGACTCGGGTTGGCTAATCCCCGGATGATCGGTGCTCCATCCTCCCTGTCCCTCGTCACAGTGTTAAGGAGCCGAGAGGAGCTACCTCGCCCAGATTCTGCTTTCCCACTTCATGTGTCATGCGTTTGCCCAGTGCCACCACTACCCTCAGCTGCTTACATCAGCTTTGTCACCACCTGGTCCTCCAGAACAGACTATTGGAGGCGGGGTCGCAGATGGGGAAGTCGCTTCTAGAAGAGCAGGCTCCCCAAGTTTTGGTTCCAGTTTCTGTCCCAGGTGCCTGGCACACATGGCCCACGCAGCACCTGGTGGCAGGAAGCCACCTCACTTTAGATCAGTCGCCGGGGTCCCCGCCTTAGAAGGGTCCCCGCCTTAGATCAATCACTTGGACACTAAGGCACGTTTTAGCGTCTCTTGTCTTAACAATTATGTCTATTTGTCCATTTGTGTTTTCTGCGTGTGTCATCAGATGTAATCCTCGGAAATAACGCACACTAGCCTCTGACAACCATGAAGCAATCCGTTACATGTGGGTCTGACTCGTTGTGGACTCATTCAAATATCAAATAAATCTATAACAGAAAGTAGCCTTTGGAGGTCTCCATGTTGTGGGGGGACCTTCCCTCAGCTCTCTGAGGCTGGCTGGGCCCTGTGGACTCGTTTGTTAAGTGACCATTTATCGGGCACCTACAAGATAGTTAACTCTCCCCACCCTCTCCCCGCCCCATGGACACGAGCTGGACAGAACGTCTGGTACGCGTCAGGCATGGATGGTCTTGGCCAGGGATTCCTCAGCTAGCACGTTCTCTGCCAGCCCAGGGCCTGTGAGCTTTGGTGGGGAGGGGGAGGGAGGGGTGGTCACCGGAATGGGAGCCAGTGGTCTCAGGTCCTTGTCCCAGCTTAGTCATCCCCTGCATGAAGCTGGGGAGGTCCCTTCCCTCCCGTGGCCTCTGTATTTTGTCATTGCGTGCTCTCACAGGTCCCTTATCCCAACAGCCAGTCCCCAAGGCTCTGCAGAGGTGGGGCTGAAGTCACTGTGGGAGGGCCTGACCTGCTCCAGCCCCTTTCCTTGCCTGCTGAAGGTGCCAGGGTCAAGGGCAGAGGCTCAGGGAGATGGGCAGAGCTGCCTTCAGATCCTGGCTCTTCTATTTATTTGATGTGGAGCCTTAGTTTCCTCATTTGTAAACTCAGGATGGTGTTGGCAACCTTGCAGGATTGTTGGGAGACCCATGATAATTATGCAGGTGGGTGGAGTTTTCAGCTGAGTGCCTGGCTCCTAGTCCCCAGTAAACGGTATCTTCCTCCTGGACCAGTGAGGCTCACCCTGGGCTGATGTAGGGGCCTGGGGCAGGGGTCTTTTGGTGCAGAAGAAGGGCCTCTGTGTCTGGCCTTGGCCTTGGCCTGGCCTTGGCCGTGAAATTTCAGCTGCTGTGTGGGCATCTCCTCTGGGGCAGGACAGAGTCTGTCTTTCCTCGCTCCACCGGCTCTAACCCTTCCAGGTGACCTCAGGACTGAGCAGGACTTTCCTCATCTCTGTCCCTGTCGTGGGCTTTCTGACTGACTGGGAGACTGAGCAGCTGGGCCAGGACCTCCCTCTAAGCCTGGTCTGGGTCTCCACAGTGGAGGCCTTCGCCCCCTGTCTGGTCTGGCCCCTCTCCGCTGACTCCCACACCCCCATCCCAGCCTTGGGTCTGCCCAGTGCCCAGAGCAGGAGTGTTTGATCTGGAGCTGGTTAGCTTTTGGAAAAAACAAAAACCACCCGCCTAGTTCTGAAAGCCTGAACAGAATCAATGAACAAATCATGGGAGGCCCAGCTCCTCCCCCTCCCATTCCCAGCCCCCGCCCCCCAGGACTCTCCACTTAAAACCACAGTGGTGGTCTTTTCCCTGATTCCAACCACAGGTAGGAAAACTTGGGGAAAGTTCAGAAAGTAAAATTAAAATACCCTCATGTTCTACCCAGAACAGCCCCTGCTAACTGAGTAATTGGTAGGCATTTATTTACTAAGGGTCAGGCCCTGTACCAAGCTGTTAACCAGCAGCAAAGCACCATCTTTCACCTACATCCCCCCAAATTCTGTCATCCCCAAATTACAGATAGGGACAGTAAGGCCCGGGTGTGGACTGAACCCAGTCTGCCTCATTAAGCCTCCACTACGAGCCTTTAGTGGGGTTCCCATGAGAGTTGCTTGTCCAGCACGGTGGACCCTCCCTATACTCCTGGCACATGCCTCTCTCTATTTATTAAGTGGCTGCATCAGAAGCAGCCAGGACAGCAAGTGAACCGAGGCTCGGCTGCATTTCCCACGTGGCTGTCTTTTGCCTGCCCTGCTCACCCTGCCTAACCCCTCCTAACCCCTCCTAACCCCTCCTAACCCCTCGTCCACCCTCAGCCTCAGGAACCTGGCAGGGCTCACTCCTCCCCTGGCCCTGCTTGGGAAGCTGAGACTAAGCAGCTACTCCCAGAGCGGTGGCCCAGAAAACACAGTTTGAATCTGGGCCAAGTCTCCTGCGGGCTGAGCTGTGTCCCCACGCTCCCTCCCAAGACACTCTGTCCCTTTGCCATTCAGAAAGCATGATTTCAGGGAAGGCCAGCTAGCAAGGAAGGGTGGGTGTGCATATGTTGTTCCGACCCCGGGCCTCTGTTGTGCCAGCCTCACTTGAGATGCCAACATCTTGGGCCCGGTGGTGGGGAACAGGAATCGTGATTCTCTCTCTCATTCCAAAGACCCAAGCCCCCTCTTTCTAGCCCCTTCCTCCTCCTAAGACCTCCTACCTTCCTCTGAGCTGCAGACTCACTTATACACTCCCATAATCCTCCCAGGACCTAGGGAGAGGCCCAGAGGATTCCCTTTGGAATGCAAAGCCACTCAGGGCCAGGCTGCTGTGCACTTCCCCACCCTACATGCCCCAGATGTTGATGCTGGTAGCCTGGAGGACTTTCTAATCCTCAATTGAGGGAAAGACATTGGTCAGAAATCACAGTTAACTGTGGCACCTGAACTGGCACTCAGCCTGTGCAACTGCTTTGCCCAGACACTCCTGTAATTCAACTTTTGGGCACCTGGTAAGCAGCCAGCCCCAGTGGTTTCTGGAAAGAAACCGGAGGGAGCAGTGAAAAGCCTAAAGGGTTAATCCTGGGTTGGCAGGGAGGATAGACCCAGGGTGTGGGGCCAGGGCCCCTCCTGGTACAGGAGTCAGAGGGGGCTGGAAAGGACTGGGGCTCAGCCTGGAGGGGCCCAGGCTGGTGGTGGTGGGGCAGGGCTTGGGTTTTCTCTGGGTAGGCAAGGGTTAAGTCCTCTGGGCTTCTCAGGCTCCATCCACTCTCCCCTCCTGCCCTTTCTCCTCTCCAGCCTTGAGCTCCGCACCCACAGCCACCGGTGAACCCTCATCCTCATGGCCTGCCTGAGCCCCTCGCAGCTTCAGAAGGTAGGGGCCTGCAGGGGTAGGGGGCAGGGAGGGTCAGGAAAAAGTGGGGAGCCCCTCGGAACTTCTAGTAGTCCCCAGCCCCGGAAACTCAACTCCGCTACCATTTTTCAGAAGAGGAAACTGAAGCGGGTCGTGGTCGGTTCCCAGCTAGGACTCCTAACTTCTGCACACACAATCGGGGGGGTCCAGACTACAGGATCTGGGTGGGATGGGAATGCACGTGTATGTGACTGAAACCCTAGTAAAAGCACCGCCATCAGCTGGTCCCTGCCCGGGATCCGGGCCTGCGAGCAGGGGGCGGGGCCAGAGATGGGCCGACCAGCTCGCCTCCCTCACCAGTTGGGTTGCCTGGGTCCCACGTGCTTTCAAACACAAAAGGGTAACTCGGTGGGAATTAGAGCTTCACAGGCTTTTAAATAACATGACCCTTGTTGTTTGTTCCTGATGGCAAGAGAAAAATACAGAAAAGCTCAAAGAAGAAAATTTAAAACCACCCATAAATTCTGCGCTGACACACTATTTGGATATACAGCCCTAGTCTTAATAAGGTCCATCTTAGTAGCTACTGCTTACAGCTTATTGGGTGCTTGCCATATGCCCAAGTTCTCACAACAGCTAGGATACTAATTTGTACCTGGCTTTTTGTTTTCTAACCAGGAACATATATTTCTGTGTCAGTAAATATGTTTTACCACATGAATTTTTCAGCCATGTTGTGCTCTCGAAAGACCATGCTGTGTTGGACGAGTCCCCTTGTGCTGAGCATTTATTTAGGTTGTTTCTGATTTATTGCTGTCATTAAACAAGCCTCAGTGAATACCCCCACACATACATCTTTGCTCCCCTGTTTGCCAGTCTCCCGTGGCTTCTGTTCCCCACCCCCAGGCCCAAGAATTCTAGCAGTGAGTTTATGGGATCACAGGTCTGACCAGTTAGCTGTGGATGACCCAGTTTCTAAGGAGGCAATTTTCAGCTTGATACTAAGATGTGGATTAAGTTTCTATCATGCAGAGCTGCCCAGAGACAGAAGGGCCCATGGCGGGCGGTCATGAATGCCTGCCCCCCATGCGTTTGTGAAAGCCTGAACTGAGCATCCATGGGGGAGGGAGGGAGGGAGGGAATTGGTGGGGGAAAGGTCAGTGGTTGGAAATCAGACACTTCACTGTGGGTCAGGTGGTGACTTCCAGTGTTCCTGTTCAGATTCAGACTTTATAATGCTCTGCAAGCAAACATGTAGATAGTCTTTCTCTCTTTATCTCTCGATGGCCTCAGATTAAGAGGACTAGAGGCAAATCTTAATAATCCGTCAGTTTTAACTCCCCACTGGCCACCCGCTGCACTCTGCTCCATCCTCACTCTGCTCCATCAACTCCCAATTCCTCGGGTTCCTCCCTCACTCAGGGGCTTCCTACGTCCCGCTCCCTCTGTCTGAAATGTTTCCCTTACTTCAACTCCCATTATCCTGCTGGTCCCCTTTAAACGTCCCTTCCTCAGAGCTGCTGCCCTGAGACCCTTCTGTCTTCTGGTTTACATTAGATTCTTCTGCCTTTGGTTCTTGCATCGCCCTCTTCCCGCTTGTACTCAGCACTTTGTGATATGTTCCCCTGTTCGATGTCAGTCTCCTTTGCTAGACTGTAGGCTCCTGGAGGGCAGGCATCACTGCTGGCTTGCTCATTACTGAATCTCTAGCTCCTAAAACCGTGTCTGGTACACAGTAAATGCTCGATCAATTTTAGTTGAATAAATAGGTGAGATTGTATTCCCCTGTGACCCAAGCCCACTGGAGGAGAAGGTGGGGCACACCTTCCCTTCCCCTTCCTCCTTCCTTCATTCCAGCAGCCAATATTAATTGCTCCTCACTGGCGGGGGGAGGGGGGGAGCATACATCATGGCCAGGGGTGGGGACAGAGCTATGAACAGGACACTTGACCCTACCTTCATATAGCTTCGGGTTTGGGGCAAGGGTCAAATCAGTTCTCATAAAGTATATTTGAGAGCTGAGGGGAGCCTGAGTCTCCTTCCTGCCTGTAGTTCCGGGAGGATGGATTTCTGGTGCTGGAAAGATTCCTGTCTGCGGACGAGTGTGTGGCCATGCAACAGAGGATTGGTGAGATAGTGGCTGAGATGGATGTCCCTCCCCACTGCCGCACAGAATTTTCCACCCAGGAAGAGGAGCAGCTGCGAGCCCAGGTTGGTACCTGGGGCGGGTGCGGACGGGATCTGATCTTTGACAGGGGGTCAGTTCCCTGGGAGAGCAACAGCCTGGAGGCCCATGGCTCGTCCTCATAAGGAATCAGGCCCCAGCCTTCTACGCACCAGGCTCCGGGCTAAGTGCCTCAAATGCACATTTCCTTCACTCCTCACTACGAATTTATAAGATCGGCATTATTGTGCCCATTTGCCAGGTGGAGAAAATGAGGCCCAGCTCACTTACCCCAGACCACAGGGTTAGTGACTGACAGAGCAAGGCTTTGAACCCAGATCTGTCTGATACCAAGTCCAAGCTGTTCACTGGTCTGCTGTACTTCTTCAGTAGTTCCCCTGCCACAAGGGGCCTCCCTATGGCCCACAACCTGGAATGGGTAATTCTGATGGGCCCACCTGTGCAAGGCTTATCCCAGAATGAGACTAGAAACTCTGCCGTTTCCCTCCAGTGACCTAACGGGACTCAGTTCAGTTTGAGATGGGGAAGTTGAGACTCGTGGGTTCTCTCACTCAGTTCTCTTAACCCTTCACGGTCTGAATTTATGAGCCTGTCTGACCCAGGTCCTCCAAGCCAAAGCTGTCTGTGGTCCCGGCCTCCTAATGGGCTCACTCATACTCACGCAGAGCAGCTCCTGCCATCTGGTGGGCATAAAGGGAATTACAATGGCCGGAAGCTTTGCAACCCAGAGAACTGGGACTTGGGAGGGAAAAAGGGTCGCAGAATGATAATTTCCTCGAAATCGTTTCATTTGGAAGCAAATCCAGCATTCTAGGTGGAGAAAGCCGAGACGGGGTTCTTGTGTCCAAGGTCACTCAAAAACTCCAAGGAGTGCGGGGGTCGAATCTTGTGCCCTCCAAGCCGCTTTCAGAGACCCATGAGGAGGCGGGGAGAAGACAGGAGAAAGTGTGTGTATCTCGTTTTATAATGCTTGCGAAGAGATCAGCACAGTGCTTGGTACTCAGTAAACCCATGCGAAAGACTTTGGAATAGGTATTAAAAGAAAAGAAGATCGGGGGGTGTCCTGTCTCGTTCTCCCTTCCAGCTTACCTCCACTTTTCATTGTCTCTGAGTTATTTTACAACTCTGTAAGTTGGATAGAATTGATAATAACTATAGAAATAGATATAAACCACGTCTAGCAGAACGCAATCATTATTCAGTGCCCTGTACTGATTACAATTATTCAGAATGTGATTTTTATTATTATTATTGCCCAGTAGATAGATCAGCTTTGCCTTGATTTGTAAATCCGTTTCAGCATTCATTACTGCCTATACGTGTGTGGTTCTTGGAATTCTCCTTTGAATTTGTGGTTCCCTTGTGAAATAACGAGTTAAGTAAAACCTTTGACACATTTAGCATCATCATCTTCAATGTTATTATTATCAATTATGCTCCCCTAACTTGTTCGCTTCACCCTCATCCTGGTGCAGGCAGAGGAGCTAAGAATGTTGAAAAAAACTTTCAGTTTTCAGCAGAAAGGCTTTGAAGGGGCCTGCCGAGGCACCAAGCTGAGCTATGTAGGCGCAGGTGAGAGCAGATGTACACATGTGAGGGAGTGGCAGGGCTGTGTACCTCTGGGGAACCCAGGTGGGCGGGTCGATGCCACTCAATTCCACTGATGTTGCCACGCAAGAAGGTAGGGAGATAAATACGATGATTAAAGCCACGGGAAGACACAGGGCATCTTCCTGAAGCATCGTTTTCATATGATGTTAAGAAATTTAAAACTTATTATAATTAATAAGAAGAGGTTACTAAGAAAACAGAAGATTAATACTAGCTTGTATTTATCAAGCATTTAGCTATGCCCTTGCTGAGCATTTTCTATTTAGCAGCAGCAGCAGTAATAATAATAATAATAATAGATATTCACATGGCACTTATCACCACTCCAAGGACTGTTTTAGTGCTTTACATATACCAACTCATAATCCCTACAACACCTTATGAGACAGGTACCATTAATAACATCTATATTTTATGAGGAAACCAAGCCCAGAGAGGTTCAGTGATACAGTCGTGGTCATACAGCCAGCCAGTGGCAGAGCTGGGATTTGAACCTAAGCATCCTAGCTCCAGTGTATGTGCTCTCCACAGCTGTAGGAGTCAGCCTCTTCTACCTGCAGCCTCTAACAGTCCGGGGGAGGTCAGTTCTGTTATTATTTCCCTTTGGTAGATGAGGAAAGTAAGGCTTTGAGAGGTAAAACAAGTGGTCCAAGCCTACCTGGGAATCAGACCTGTTTGATTCTAGTACCTGTGGTTTGAATCACACAATACTGAGTATAAGTCATGTGACTTATTAAGAGGTTTCCAAGAAATTCCATGCTTGCAGCTTCTGGCTATGCTTCCAGGCACTTGGGGTTCCCATTCCCTGTCTGTGCCTCAGTGAATGAGTTTGAGAAGCGCCAGCGGGGTCTGTAGCCCTGTGCAATGGGAACTATCTGAGTCCTCTTCCCTCTTCGCTAGGCCTAGCTCTTACCTGACGATACTCTCAGTCCCTCCCATGTCCCTTCCCCACAGGGCAGCACAGACTATTTCCTGAGCAGTGGCGACAAGATTCGATTCTTCTTTGAGAAAGGCGTTTTTGACAAGAAAGGTCCGGAGCTGGGGCCCTAAAGGTGGGGGTGCACTGGACTTGGGTATCTCCGCCCCCAGGGCTGGGGGGCGGGTGTTGAGGCCAGCTACCCCAGGGGAGGCTGGACTCTAGCTCGTCTGCCTTTACCTGTTCCTTGTGCCACAGGAAATTTCCTGGTCCCTCCAGAGAAATCCATCAACAAAATTGGCCATGGTAAGCTGGCACCTGGGGAAAAGGAAAGGGGGAAACCAAGGCCTGAAGAGTTTAGGGGTGTTACCCAGAGCCTACAGTGGCCCAGACAATAGCATTTCTGCCTGCAGCGCCCTCTCTGGCCCTGTTCTTCTGCATCTTACGCTGCTAATCATGAGTCCTGCCTGGGAAAGGGTCCACCGAGCCTACCATGCAGACGGGCACGTGCAGACCCCTCAGTTCTCTGCTCCCTGGCTTGGGGATGACCCAGGCCCCGGGCATAGGCACTCCTTAAGGAGCCTCCTTAAGGAGCACCTAACATGTTCATATGGTCCCCGTTCTGAGACCCCCAAACCAAGCTAAGAAATTCTCTTTTTTTTTCAGGATCATACATTAAAATTTATTTCATAGATCACTTATTTTTAAGCTTGAAGTTATATCATAGTAGCTTTGTTAAAAACATTGCGGTAAAATATATATCACAAACTTTACCATTGTAACCATTTTGAAGTGTACAATTCAGTGGCCTTAAGTACATTCAGCCCTCACTTTTTTTTTATTGAGTTATAATCGACATATAACATTTCAACCCTCGCTTTTTGTAGTAACAACGATAATAGCAAATAATGAGAAGAGTGACTATTCCGTGCCAGGCCCTGGGCTGTGGCTGTGCATGCGTTAGCCCTGTGAGCCCTGTGGTAGCCTGGGGGGACGGCAGGGCGGGCCTTCTAGTCCCCTTGTACAGAGGAGGACACTGAGGCTTACAGGAGAGAAGTCACATAGAGTTAGTGGCAGTACCGAGATTGCTACCAAGGGATTGGCCCCTTGGAGCTTTTCATTCTCTGAGGAGTGGGAAGTCAGGGCTGGAGTGAGGGTCACAGATGGTTAGAAGGTCAAGAATAAGGTCATGGGTGGGATGGGGTCTGAGGTGGGGCCAAAGTGTCTGTGGGGCCCATCCCTTGGTTACAAACAAGAAAAAATTTAATATACACAAAATTGTTGGGAGTGAGGGCTGAGTCTGGACGCCCAGGGCTAGGCATGGGAGGGGCTCGTGGGGGCTGGGGACTGTCCCATCAGCCTGCCTCTATCCCGCAGCTCTGCATGCCCATGACCCTGTCTTCAAGTGTATCACACACTCCCCCAAGGTTCAGGTGAGCAGAGGTGGGGACAAGGTTGGGTAAGTGGGCCAGCTGTGAGTGTGGGCTGGCAGTGTGACCTTTGACCTCTTCCAGGCCTTGGCCAGAAGTCTGGGCCTCCAGATGCCCGTGGTGGTACAGAGCATGTACATCTTCAAGGTGAGCTCGTCATCCTGCCCAGGCCTCAGTTTATGCTCTGTAAAATGGGCAGAAAATTCATACCAAGCCAAAAGCTGCTACTAGGAAGATTATTAACTTGGGGGAAGAACATGTAAAATCGGCCTCTTCCGGCTAAGGTGCCTGGCCTTTAGTTGGTTTTCAGTTAAAATTTGGTGGTAGGAGAGAAGGGGTTCCCCAGGACTCCGTCTTCCCTTCTCTGGCTATTGAAATGCTATTCTCAGTTTTCAAGGCCTAGCTCGGTGCCACTTCCTCCAAGAAGCCTTCCAGCAGTTTTGGGAAGAGAGGAACCAGCCTGGGTCCTAATCTCTCCTGCTACCCCTCATATCTGCCACATGTTCTGTTACGCATGCACGTGGTCAGACTGGGAGTGCCCTGGCGGGCAGGGTGGTATTTCTTTTTGCAGCCCTCCTGGGCCTGGCACACAGTAGGTGCTTCATAGCTGGTGCCAGTGTGAAATCCTTAGAGGTAAACACCTGTGGCCAGGGAAGAACTTCCCATGAGACTCAGCGGTCCCTGCTCTCTCCTGCCCTCTTCTGGTCTCACCGGGCCCTTCCTCTCTCTTGCAGCAACCTCGTTTGGGTGGCGAAGGTGAGCTGAGTGCAGACTGTGGGCCCAGCAAAGGCCCTGGCGGGAAATCTGGACATTAGTGGTTATGAGGTCTTCAGAGGGAGGGAGGGCACTTGTCTACCTGTCCCCAGGCTGGGGAGGACAAGCCAGCTTCTGTTCCTTCCTGGGACAGTGAATTGGGAGGGTGCCCCCCAGTACCGTGGTTCCTGAACCTGGCCACAACTCCTAGCTGGTTAAAAATACAGATTCCCGGGCCCAGTTTCCTGAGATCTTGAGTCAGTAGGGCTGCTAGGGCCTGGGAATCTATATTTTAACAAGTTTCTTGGAGGACCGATTCAGCATACAAATTGCTGATCTAATTCCAAACCTCAATGGATGTGCAAATATCCTTTATAGCCTCTCTTGTGAGTGATTATCCACTTCTGCTCAAATACCTCCAGTGACAGGGAGCTCACCCCCTCGCAGGTCATCCTTCCTTGCATTAGCCCAAGTTGGTCTCCTTGTGACCGCCTCCTCCTCCCATCATTCAGTTAAAGGACAGTCCCCTAAAGGGATGGCCATCCCTTCCCCAAGTCCAGCACCTCCACTTTCTTCAGTCATTCTTCCACCAAATGTTTTGGAGCACCCCCTATTGGGACACCTTCCTGTGGACACTGTCCAGGTTGTCAATGTCCCTTTTAAAGGTTGATGCTTAGAAAAAACACAGTTCCCCAGGAAGGAGGTGAGATGAGCACCCCTGTTACAGGCGAAGGTCATTTATTCGGTGGTCCTCCATCCTGGCTGGGCCCCAGCATCACGAGGTGGGGGGTATTTAAAATGTGGGTGCTTGGTCAGTCGTCCCCACCACTTCACACTTATACCACTGGGGGGGATCATCTGGTGGCTGGAGGTGCTTGTCTCTAGCTATGGACGGTGGCCTTAGTTACCTGGCCAGAATTAAACAAGAGCAGCTACTTTTTAGCAAATTATTACAATGTTGGGTCCTGTGCTGGCACTTGTCATACATCTTCTCATGGAATCCTCCAGCAACCCCATGAGGTAGGTTACTGTTGGGGATGCTTTACGGTTTAGGAAATTGAAGCTTTGAGAGGTAAGATATCTTGTCCCAAGTCACTGGACTACAGAGAGGCAAGACTAACTGATCATGGGAGGGCTGGGCCAGGAGGGCTCTGGGGGGATTGGAGAATGGGAAACAAGGCCAAGGTGAGGTGGGGGCTGGGCTCCTCACACCCACGCGGGCTTGCTGCAGTCTCCCCTCACCAGGATGCTTCCTTCCTGTACACGGAGCCCCTGGGCCGGGTGCTGGGCCTGTGGATCGCGCTGGAGGACGCCACACTGGAGAACGGCTGCCTCTGGTTCATCCCTGGCTCCCACACCAGTGAGGACACCTGTCTCTCCCCATCCACTCATACCCTATCGGCCATGGGAGAGGGACCCAGAAAAAAGAGAGGCTAAAGACTCCTTCTTGGCCTGCAGGTGGAGTGTCGAGAAGGATGGTCCGGGCCCCTGCTGGCTCAGCGCCTGGCACCAGCTTCCTGGGGTCAGAGCCAGCCCGGGATAACAGCCTCTTTGTGCCTACGCCAGTGCAGAGAGGTAGGCGGTATGCAGAGGGAAGGAAGGCAGGGCCCTGACGCCACGCCCATGGGTGTCTGCCTGCTCTGACCACCCGGCTCACCTGAGAATGAGAGAAGCTCCCTGGACACTGGGTGGTCAGGAAGCAGTGAGATTAACAGCAGGGTCTCCCAGACCAGTCTAGAATCCAGACTCTGCTACTTCCGGGCTCTTTGGGCAAATGACTGAATCCTTCTGAGCCTCAGTTTCCCCCAAAGAGATGATGTATCCAAGATGTTCGCACAGAACCTGTGTGGTCCACGGCAAGTACTCGACAGATGCCAGCTCTTGGTGCTCCTCCTCTCTCTTTTGGAAACGGGAAAACTGAGGTTTTACTCAGTGTTTGCTGGCGAGATCCCAGCCGACTGGGACAGTACAGACTCTGCCTGGTTGTACAAACACCATAGGGCTTGCCAAGGTCATGGGTCCCGGGGGGAGGGTCTGGATCTCAGGGGAACCTGTGTCCAACAGCACAGCCTCAGACCCCACGGCAGGCCGCAAGTTCCTGAGTTTTCAGGGTCGAGAATGGAGATAAATAGGCTGCAAAACTGCCTGAGGTCTGGAAGGCCCTGTGTCCCTTCCTGCCCTGAGTGTCCTGACCTACGGTGTCCCTGCCAGGGGCCCTTGTCCTGATCCACGGAGAAGTGGTGCACAAGAGTGAGCAAAACCTCTCCGACCGCTCGCGCCAGGCCTACACTTTCCACCTCATGGAGGCCACTGGCACCGTCTGGAGCCCAGAGAACTGGTAGGTGGCAGGTATGTCCCAGACAGGGTCCTGAAGAGGTCCTCGCAGCTAGGCAGAGCAGTGAGACTGGCATCTCAGGGGCATTTTCTATCCTCCGCAGGCTCCAGCCAACAGCCGAGCTGCCCTTTCCCCCACTGTACACCTAAAGGCTCTCGCAGGGCTGGGCAATGTCCCCTCCCAGGTGAAGCTGTGGGCCACAGACACCACCAGTGCCTTGCCCAACCACCCAGGTGCAAGAGGAAAGTCTCATCTCTCCTCCTGGGCTTTCCTTCTGCCAGTGTCTGTACTCTTCGGCCCTGCAGGCAGACAGGCGAGAGGTGGCAGCTGGGCAGCAGGAGCCCAGCTGGGTGCCTTTCCCAAGATCTCTGTCTCTGTCTCCTCTCTGCCTCCCCCTAGAGGGTTGTGGTCACAGAATGGTTCTGGCCACTTCTCTGCCAGCTTCTTACTCTTCTCTCCTCTCAGACAGAACTCTATTACCGTGCAAGACATTGAATAAAAATGACTTCTGAATGCAGCTTCTTGATCCTTCTTTCCCAAGCAGCCTTGTTCTCAAGATGAGAGCTCTGCTGACAATCATCCCGGGTACCCCAGCCCTGCCTGATGAGGTTTGTGTGATTTCCCTAACAGTAAGTCACATCTGGTGGGTGCATACTCACTGTGCCAAGAGCTTCACATGTTGTATCTCAGAGGCCCCACACTGATGGACCTTCAAGGTAGGTGCTCTTGCCATCCGCATTTGTAGATAAAGAAGCTGACTCATGGGGAGAATAAGGGATCTGCTCCAAACACAGTTTAGTTGTTTAGCAAGCTCAGCCTGATCCAGGGCCTGCGCTTCTAACCTCTACAGTCCTGGTGCTCTCCTCTTGGGAAAGGGGAAAGACGACCAAGCCTGGGAATCCAGTCCCAGATTCTGGTCCTGGCTCTGTGACCAACTCGCTTTCTGGTCTCAGGCTAGGCCCTTTCTCTCTCTGGAACTGTTTTCCCACCTGCATAGTTGGGGGCCAGACGAGGGCTTCCATGGGTTCCTCCTCTTTGGGCATGCTTGGCAGGCACCCAGACCTTTCGCAAGAATAATATGAAATCCAAAATTTGTTTAGCCAGCGTCTGGCCCAGAGGCTGCAAGTCGGGGGCCACTGGCTGATTCCAGGCCACAGATGTATTTTGTCTGGGCCTTGGTATTTTTATAAAAACTTTTTAAAACAGAGATTTCACATAAATTTGCAATCCAGATTTCTAAGCCTCCTTGAAAGAACAGGTCAACAGCACGAGGCCTATGCTGACGACTGGCTGGAGCTATCTCCTTAGAGGCACACGTGCCCTCCACGTCTCACTTGCCATCCTCCTTCACTGCATTACCTGCCTGACCTCAGCGGCCGTAAGAGTTTGTGAACTTGATTTCCAGCCTCTACTGTATATATGGACAAGCCAAGGCCCAGAGGACAGAGCCCTTTCCCAAGGGCACAGTCAATGAGGCAAAGCCGCTGCTCTTCCCTGACATTTTGCCACTTCCTTCAGCAAGCAGAAGGGAACCTGAGAAAAGAGAAGGGTTTGTCATCTCCTTTGAGCTCCCAAAGGAATGTTTCAGCACTTTCCTCTGAGGGAAAGGACTTGGCAGTGACCCCGCGAGCTCCCTAGTTGTCCACTCCTGGCTTCTGGCCATAGTGGGCCCAAATTCTCGCCTCTTCCTGCGAGGCCCCTCCCTGCCAGGCTGGGTGAGCAGCCGGGAGAAACCTGCTCTTCTTTCCCCAGCCCCTTCTCACACACAAGTTGATTTTCCCGCCTTTAGCTCTTTCTAGCCCAAATGAGAGGAATCACATGCATTTGGCTATTTTCCTCTTGGGTTCTCCTCCAGATAGAGCTAAGTCTCCAAGGACAGCCCGCAAAAGTACAACCCTTGGCTTGCCTGGCTTTTTGCTGAGAGGAGAACTGGCCTTGGGTAATAATGACACTCTGTCCTGAAGTGTTACGCTCTGTGGTCTCCAGTGTCCACTCCAGGCCCCTCTGAGGATTGCAAGGTGGCAGGGGCGGGGGGCTATGGCACACTTAAGTTCTTTGAATTGTTGTACTATCCTTTAGCCTTTTTGCTTTTTAAATATCAGCAAATCAAAAGCCGGGAGAGCTTTAATTTTTATTTTGAATCTGAATCAACTGAAAAATCAAATCTGCTTCTTCATGCCCAAGTGGCTGGCTGCTGTGGGGACCATTTATCCTCCCCCTGTCTCCATTTCCTCCATCGCTGCTACACAGCAGCTAGGCCATCAGCAATATCAGGAGGTAGAGAGGCAAAAGGAGATTGTCTATCTGCGTAGTGTATGCTTCTAGGAGGGACACCATGCTGATGGATCCCAAAATCCAAGCGTAACTGTCGTTTAGGTCCACTCCACTGTCAAAGATTAAGATCAGAGCTACAGAAATGATTTGGGCAAATATAGATGTCATGGTCCCCTCAAAAGTCTTTTTGGTTCCAGGCCAGTGGATTTCCCCCATGGTACTGCCAAAGATGGAGGCCATAGTGTCACCCACACCCACGGCCAGGACACCGGCGTAGGGGACTAGGGCCCTCGCTCCCCCCAGGCTACCCTTCTGTGTGCAGGGTCTGGGGACTAGCCAAATGGGAAGAGACATGCCCAGGAGCAGGTAGATGTGTGTCAGGATAAGCGGTCCGCTATCTCGTTCATCCAGGAAGAGGGACAGGAGGCTCCGCAGAGTGTGGCCCAGGGGCTTAATGCGGAAGTAGCGCACATACTCCAGTAAGATGAAGACCGCCAGACATAGAGTGGCAGCCACGTAGAGTAGTGGCCGGTCAAAGATGATACCTGGGACGTAGGTGGCTACCACAATGAAGTGGAAATACTTCCGGGCAATGGTCGGGGCCTGGTGCTTCTTGGACTCCGAAGATGACCTCTTGGCATTCTGGTACAGCACTACCAGGCAGGCAAAGGTGGCCAGCAGAGACCAGTAGGCTAGGAGGTAGATGCGGGTTTCTGTCTGGAAGAGGAATTGAAGAAGCCAGAGCAGGGGGTTCCTGCGGATGAGCCGGTGCAGCCAGGGCAGGACCACACCAAGACCCAGCACACCAGTCATAAGGTGGAAGAAGATGGAGGAGGCCCAGGTACCTGAGTCCATGAAGACAAAGAGGGTGCTGAAGAAGATGCCCATGAGCACCATCCCTACTACTACCACCAACAGGAAGAAGTCCACTGGGTCTCCCTGGCCTTCTACCACGGTCAGAGAGCGCTTGATGAGCTGGTTGAGCAAAAAGCTGATGCCACCCAACACCAGCAGTGCCTCCCCAGGGGTGAAGCAGCGGGGTAGCAGGTACAGCAGGATCATGTTGAGGTAGACGAAGATCAGCAGGACCTCCAGGACCTCGATCACCTCGCCCACACTCAGTGAGTGCTTCATGATATAAATGATGACACCCCCGGCCAAGCCCAAGATGACACAAGTGTTGGTAGGCACTGGGCGAGTGATCCCCAGCGCCAGCACTGATGAGAAGAGGGCCACTGCCATGCCAGTGGTTGCCACCACAATTCCAAAGCGCTCAAAGTATGGGTTCCCCGCAGCCTGGCAGCGCTCCTTCATGACCAGTCCGAGCAAAGGCATGACCATGGAGGCGGGCAGTAGGCCACTGTTTGCGGACATTCGGAACTGGAAGACAGCGCTTCCTTGCTGTAGCAGCCGGTCCCACTTGTACTGGACGTAGAAGGCCTGCACTGCGAGGGCCACGGCGCACCACGAGTACCGGTCCAACACGGATGCGTGGATACTCAGCACCACCGCGAACACCACTGCCGCCTCTGCCAGCACCGAGCCGCTCAGCAGCGCTCCGGTCCCCTGGGCCGGGGGAGCACACTCTCGGGTCATTTCTCTAGACCTGGGACCCTGGGCAAACCCGGGTGACTAGGGTCGCTTTGGACGCTGGGCCCCTAAGCCCTGCCAGGCAGAGAGCCGCAGCTTCACCCAACCAGCACCTTCTTTCTCCGTTCTCTAGCTGCAAGGAGGGAAGCTCTACTGGAGGACACTCTCTGAAGCCTGGGAGCTAGTGTCCGGTCAGTTTCCACCGTCTTCAACCTATGGCGTAGACGTCGTCTCTCGGCCAACTTCATTCCAGCCTCGGCGGCCCCAGCCGCGAGTTCCTCACCTTTCTGGGCGTCGCCATCTTGGCCCCGCCCCACCATCACGTGACGGAAAGCCCGTCCACGCGCCCGTCTGGAAGCGGGCGGTCACGTGGACGCGGCGTTTGGGGGCGGGGCGGGGGCGCGCGCGCGAAGATGGCGGCTGCCGCCGGTGGGCCGTGTGTGAGGTGCGGAGCGGGCCGAGTCGGCCGGGGTGGCTCTGAGGCGCGGGGTCGAAGCCGAGCGGAAGCGGGGCGGGAGTGGGGGGCGAGATGTGGAGGCGGTGGCGGGGCGAAGCCCGGCTAGGTGGACGGGCGCCGAGACGGGAGGCGGTTACGTCCAAACGGTCCCCGCGCGCGCGGGGGATCTGAGGCGACTTCTCCAGGAGGGGGGGGCCGGTGCCTCAGTCCTTCTGTCAGCATCGGCCTCCCGTCTCTTCCCCAAGTCCCTTTCTCTTCCTCCCCTCTCCCCACCGGCAGATCCCTCGGTCCCTCCCCCTGTGCCCCCGCGCTTCCTTGTCCGGCGTGACGCTCCCTCGAGGCGCAACGGGGCGCTTCGCGGTCGCCGGGGAGAGCCCCCACCCGCGTCCCTGCTGCAGCCTCCCGTGCCCTGCCTCGGCGACGCTGCCCAGATTCCCCAGGTGCTCTCGTTGGGAAGTGTTTCTTGCGGCGCCCAGCCACTTCCCTGCGGTTTCTGCCGTCTTTCATTCATCCATCTATTCATGTTTTCCGGCGTTGATTCCGTCAGCCCACATGCCCACATCCTCCGAGAGAGCCCAGGCACTGTAACGGGCTTTAGAGACGAGAAGATGAAATATTAACGAGAGACAGACAGTCCCTTACAGAGCGCTTACTAGCGCCAGACGCCGGGGAAGCGCTTTCCGTGCATTGTCTCGGGATTCTCTTAACTCCGTGAGCCACCTTCTGTTTCGCAGATGACTCGCAAATCCAGCTCAGTACTAGCTAAGTGGTAAAAAGTGAGGATGCGAACCGAAACTTTAAGCAGATCGCCCCATCTCTGTCTTCCACGTTACAGCTTGAAGCGTCTTCCCCTCTCCCTACCACCCTCCCTCCTTAGACGTCCCTGTCATTTATTGTTCCCTGTGCCAGCAGTGTTTCCCCACTTTTTCGTCTTGTCCACTGCCGTGTCCTCAACACCCGTGAGCGCACATGATAGACCTTAACGTAAATATTTATTACTGACATTGCCTGTTTTCTCAGATAGCACTTCCTTCACCTGTCAGCTCAGTGACATTTTCTTTGGAATTTCCACTGGGCTGCTTCCGAAATTGTAAGGACCAGTTTGCTTTTCCCTCTTCTGCTGTTTTATGTCAGCTCATTTATCAGGCAGCATTGTGGTCACTGTGTCTTCCTTTTCTTAGGCTTATTTCATAATCATCGTGGAGACTGGGTAAAGTTAAGCTCTGACAGGGTCAGGTGTGCTCTTTAATGAGAGGAAGTAAGGGAAGAAAAGCATCGATTTGCCTGAAAGATGCTTTGATCATGTTGGGAAACCTACCAAACTCATACTTGAAGATGGAAGAAATAACAAGGATTTCTAGGCACTGCTTTGCTCATAGCCTGTGTTAGGAGAATGATCTTTCTTTTTGTGCTGGAAGGCACATAACTATTGGGATCACACTGAGCAGCATTCTGT